ACCTTCTGAGAAGGGCATATGATGCTGAGCTGGAAAATTGAAGGCAAAAGAAAAGAATGTATGTAGTTGCTGAGGAAGTAGGCAGGTGGAGAGAGCATTCCTGACTTACAGGAATTGAACAGTGGAGGGGAGGAGAAGTTACTTTCTGTACTGGCTTATTTTTGCCTGGAAACAAAAATCTGGATAGGGAGTGAAATAAGTGAAACGAAGCAGTCAGATGCTCAGGACAGCTCCTAGCTGGTAGGTGAGATGGGTAGTCTAGTTCATTGTGTGCTGCTTCATCGGATTGCATGAGCAGTTGCTTTCCCTGGCGTGGGAGCTACTTAGCGGTTTGAATTTTAACAGCGTGGCTATAGATGTAATTTTTACAAGCCATCGTATAAATGAATCGAGTCAATAGCATGTATGTGGTTGTCTGGTATCTGCTTGCATTTCTGTTGTTATTGGAAATAATGCTGCTGTTAGCACTAAGAAACTTAACCTATCTCTTTTCCTATAGATCATACCAGTTGTTTAGGCCAATAATTTCAATCAAAGCAACACCAAATACTGTAGGGAAAAGCCTGTCAGAAACTTGTATGTGAAAGATCAAGGGGTAAAACATCCTGTTCCTTTCTGTATAAGCCAGAATAGACATTCTCCTTGCATGGCTGACTACAGTCCTGAACTTAAAAATGGAATATTTCTTCCACTGTGGCTTCTGTAAATTACAGAAGCTTTGAGTGTTTTTAATAGGAACGGTTAATCTCTTTTTAATTCTGTGAACATCTTGGCACTTCCTGTGGCAATGGTAGTTGCTCTTTAATCATGTTTTACAGATTCAAACAGATTTATTCCTTCCAAGTGCAATTTGGATTGATTAATTTGGGTTAATGTGAGAAACCATTGTTCTTTTGTTGTGGACGAAGAAAGATTCTTGATCGATCTAATTTAAATCAATCATTATTTTATATACTTATTTCAATTTACCTTTTATTAACCCTGTTTATACAGTAAGCAGTGCTGCTCTCCTACCTCTAAGTATCTCCAGCAGGTGCAGCAGGCATGAGACTTCTATAGTGCTCATGAACATCATTTTTATTGCTAACTATATAGAGAATACTCACCTTTCACCTTCTCCTCCTGCCTTATGTGCCAAGCCCTTTGGAGCAGTGATTGTAGCAGGAGGTGGTTTGCCCTTTGCTATGCACAGGGAGTCTGTACCATTGTCTTCTGTGTATGCCATCCTGCTCTGATGCTTCCCTGCTGTCAGCTGGCTTTGGCACTGCAGCGTGTCAGAAGGAAGCCTAATCCTGAGTAGTGTTCTTACTCCTACAGCCTAATTTATATGGTCCATATTTTCTGCGACAGTTTTCTCATTTTATTTGAAAAGATGCTGTAAAATGTGAAACACTATCGCTTCTACTGTTGTTTTTATTTCTCTGAGCTTTTTATGGATCCTGTATAATATTATGCTGATGGAAAACCTTCTGTCAAAATTCAAACATTCATACACTTGTTTTCTGCTTTTTAATCCCTTTCCAGAAGGAGGGAAGATATTGAACTTAGATAAAGCAATAGCTTTTCTTCCATTAAGCAGAGTTTCCATTTAATGAAGAACAAGAAATAGTGCTTGAAAGACTTTGTATTTTTTACTTTTTATATGAGAATACTTATAGGAAATGGAAGGAGAGATCATTGCTTGAATGTTTTTAAGATAAAACATATATATTTATACCTTTTTATGCTTTGTTTTTCTTTCTGATACATGTGTATTGATCATTCCTATCAATACTGACAGGTTACTCAGTATTCTGGAATTCATTTATTATTTGCATGTGACCAGTATTGATTTTTCTCCTGTAAAACTGCTATTGGGTGTTTCTGAAACTGTATTCTGTTCATGGGGTGCATATGCTCACATATCTGATTGTGATGCTTAGTCTGATACAGGTTTTTTTCTGTGATTTCATTTTGGCAGTCTGAAGTTGCCAGAGACAATCATAGGCTATCACAGGTTGGAGTGGACCCGTAAGGATCATTGAGAGGTGATGATGCCGCAGTACATGGTCCTCTTTTCAGACTCCAGGCAGTAAGCAGCTGGGATGTATCAGTCAGTGGAAAAGCACTGGGGAATTTGTCATGACTGGAGAACTGAGGTGTGAAAGCTTTAGGGGAGAGGCAGATGGTACTAAAATTTGTGCAAGGCCGTTGGTAGTTGTCATTTCTGATGGATGTATGCAGAGGTGAGCGAGATCCTGGAGTCCTGTCTCTAGTATAGTCAAATAGCTGATAAGGGAGCCTGGTTGCAAGAAATTTGGGTGTCAAGGAGACTACATGAGATATCAGCTGAAATGTAGTCTATGAGAGCAAAGTAATTTGCATGTTGCAAGGAAGAGAGCAAAAGTTCCAAGGTTTGTAGCAGGGACGTACTTGAAGAGTTGCTGTCTCTGGCTGCTTAGCACGTGGGTTATTTTAAAGGAGTCTGTGGAAGGTGACTAAAGAAGGCGCCAAGTTCCACCTCATTCATTGAAGCTTTATTGCTTCCTCTATATGTGAAGCATCTAAATGGATGAAGACTTCTGAAGTCATTCTAGGGAGGTGGAGACCTGCCTTCCAGAGGGATCCACCGCACGCACAGCCTTCTCTCACAGCAGGCAGCATTGCTTATTTCTCTGGCTGTCGCTGTCCTGCAGCATCCTGCCTAAACTACTTGGTAAATGTTTCTTTTCTCCACACACCAACATAACGTGGTACTGAGGGGTGTAACGCTGCCAAGGGCAAGAGGAATGCAGGGCAGCAGGTGCGCTCAGCTGAGCACTTGGATGGAAGGTGGGAACGGCTCAGCATGGAACTGGCAGCAGGGTTTTAGGATGTACCATATGTGGATAGAGATGCTTGCAAGGAAATAGCAGAGCAAATTCAGATTCATAGTGCTCCAAAGATCTGTTTGTTTGACTATCCCTTTCTGGTACTCTTGATTGCTGCTCAGTAAGAAGTGAAGAGCCAGCTGGGAATTTCCCTGTCCCAGCACAATATCCTTCCTTATGAAGAGATCTGTTAGTACTTTTGTAGTGAATAATTTCAAGATAAACACAGAAGAACTGAAGGATTTAAAATAGCGTCCGAAACCATGCATAATGACTGGCAGGAATTACCAGTATGTTTCTAAGCTAATTCTCTTTGAAGAGATGCTGGTTTTAGTATTTTTCTACTGCTTTTTTAATTTTCACAAGGCCACTGGATTGTAAGATACTGTCTCTCCCTCAGATTTGATTGGAATTGCCCAGAAGGTTTAAAAATTACCAGGGGTGCAGGATATATATACACACACATATATATCATAGAATAGTTAGGGTTGGAAAGGACCTGAAGATCATCAAGTTCCAACCCCCCTGCTGTGGGCAGGGACACCTCACACTAAACCATCTCACCCAAGACTCTGTCCAACCTGGCCTTGACCACTGCCAGGGATGGAGCATTCACAACTTCCCTGGGCAACCCATTCCAGTGCCTCACCACCCTTAGAAGTAAAGAACTTCTTCCTTATATCCAATCTAAACTTCCCCTGTTTAAGTTTGAACCCATTACCCCTTGTCCTGTCACTACAGTTCCTAATGAAGAGTCCCTCCCCAGCATCCCTATAGGCCCCCTTCAGATACTGGGAGGCTGCTATGAGGTCTCCACGCAGCCTTCTCTTCTCCAGGCTGAACAGCCCCAACTTCCTCAGCCTGTCTTCATACAGGAGGTGCTCCAGTCCCCTGATCATCCTCGTGGTCTCCTCTGGACTTGTTCCAACAGTTCCATGTCCTTTTTATGTTGAGGACACCAGAACTACACACAATGCTGCAGGTGAGGTCTCACAAGAGCAGAGCAGAGGGGCAGGATCACCTCCTTGGACCTGCTGGTCACGCTCCTTTTGATGCAGCACAGGATACGGTTTATATATATATATATGAACCTTCCTTATATGAGGCTGGATATAAGGAAGTTCTTCCCTGTGAGGGTGGTGAGGTGTTGCTATAGGTTGCCTGAAGAAGTGATAAATGCTCCATCCCTGGCAGTATTCAAGGCCAGGTTGGACAGGGCCTTGGGTGATATGGTTTAGTGTGAGGTGTCCCTGCCCATGGCAGGGGGTTTGGAACTGGATGATCTTAAGGTCCTTTCCAACCCAAACCATTCTGTGATTCTAAGATCACATAAGCCTTGCTTTTATGGGAAACTGAGCTAACTCTTTCAGTAAAAAACTGTGTGTGCATGAGACTCATTGGTGTAAATACACATTCTGTCTCTTTTTTGATTTATTTTCCCTCTGTCAGAGAGGAGCACATGAGAGTAATTTTTCTTCCAGGTATTTGTCAGGATATCAAATGCAGTGTAGCTGTTATCACACATTAGGTGCCAGATGCAACTACTGATACTGGGAAATGATCACTTTAAAAACTGGAATTTATGTTTGCCTGAAGATCCAGTGGCAGGACATGATATAAAATGTATCATATTTTATATTAACTGCTCTGTGTTTTGTGATGGAGTTTTAATTCTGTAAACCAGATGAGCTATATGGGTATTTGTTATTAATATATTAATGGGTTGTATATATTCATTTTAAAATGAATATAATATCTTCAGACTTCAGTCAGTGTGAGCACATGCACAGAGTTCCCATTATTTACGGTGGGTATCATTCACTGCACTGCTTTGGTGTCTTTTTAAGAGCTTTCCTTTAGTAGTGGTACCTGCCAATGGGCACGTGGTGGTTTATGTGCAGGTGCACAGGTGCTGGGAAGAGCTAGCAGCATGATTCCAGGCAGGTGGAAGTCTGTGTGAAGTACCCTCAACGTGTCCAGAAGCATCAAGATTAATGCTGGATATTCTGTCCAGCACAGTGAACACACAGCATCCAGGAACTGTAGGAGCAGAATTGTAGCAGTTATAACCTATAGGCTTGATTCCTCCCAAGTGGAGTTTTGGTTAGTCCCTGGATATGGAGTTTTGGTTAGTCCCTGGATATGGAGTTTATTATTTTGGTTTAATTTCCCTTTTAGGATTTCTCATTCATTGTGTTGGGTTTGGTTTTACCAACTGTTCAGTATTTTACAGTATTTCTGATTTTTACAATAGGATTTTAAGATATTTATACTTGGACAATACTTAGGATTTGACAGTAATGAAATTCCCCAGTACGTCTTGTGCCCAAATAATGCCATTATCATTGCTGATGTGAGGAAGACAGGAGTGAGGTAAGCAAGGTTGGTACTCAGCAGGTAGGAAGATTAGATTCTGCCCTAGTAAGCATAATTTAAATACGAAGCCTGATTTTTCTCTGCTGCCAAGTGCTGCTGCTCATGGAAGTACTTGCTTTATTTTTAGGCACTTCTATGCCAAAGTGCCTCAATCTTGGAACTTGAGGCACGATGACAGCGAATATTGTGCTATAGGACTGAAGCTTCAGGGAGGAGAGAAAAACACTGCAGCTCTTTACTAAATATATGTTGCGCAGGGGGAAGTGCATGTAAGAAGCTTCAGTGATTGATAGCTTATATTGTATTTTACATAGTACTCGGTGTTTATGTTCATTTTCATGTCCTGTTCAGTGAAGGGATAATCTGCGTCTGTCACTGACCACATGTCCTCAGCCTTCCAGAGAGGAGTGGAGTCATGACAGTTGAGGTATCTCGGTCCCTCTTTCTCCTAGCTGAGGTTGGTGTGCTGAATGATGCTTGGCACACGCCCCTGGTTGCTGCAGTCTTTCACCTCCGTTTCTTGCACCAGCCAGGCTCAATGTCCGTGTGCATGACACTATGCACCAAGAACTCATGTAAATAGTTTTTCAGATGTACATGGCAAAAAGTGGCTGTGGTAACGTTATAGCAGTGATGCATAGTGCCAAAATGATGCTCTGCAGCAGGGGAGGCATTTGGGTTTCCCTCAGCAGCTCTTCTGAGGGCAAGGGCGTGATGAAGGAGAGAGTGGAGGCAATTGCTCTTTGTTGTGTTACTGTTCTGCTTGCCCCGCTTGTAGCCAGCATGGGCTTGTGCCTTGCTCTGCTTGGGTGAATGGCCACAGGCCTCGGCATCACTAGTTACTTGTGGTTAAACTCTGACAGTTGTGAGAGTGCAGAAATGTATTAATGGAGCTGCCTTGGTTGGTTAGTGATTTTCAGAAGTATGTTTGAATGTAGATGATAGATTCTCGTGGTTCTTGACAGGCTGAGAGCATTGGGGCTGTTCAGCCTGGAGAAGAGAAGCTGTGTGGAGACCTTAGAGCAGCTTCCAGTATCTGAAGGGGGCTACAAGGGTGCTGGAAGAGGGACTCATCAGGGACTACAGCGATAGGACAAGGGGTGATGGGTTTAAACTGAAACAGGGGAAGTTCAGGTTAGACATAAGGCAGAAGCTCTTCCTTGTGAGGGTGCTGAGGCGCTGGCACAGGGTGCCCAGAGAAGCTGTGGCTGCCCCATCCCTGGCAGTGTTCAGGGCCAGGCTGGATGGAGCTTGGAGCAGCCTGCTCTAGTGGAAGGTGTCGCTGCCAATGGCAGGCACTGGAACTGGATGAGCTTTAAGGTCCCTTCCAACACAAACCAGTCTGTGAGTCTATGATTCTGTGTTTCAGGCATAAATTGTTGGCAGAAGAAGTATTGTAGCATCTTAGTTGTCTATGTAGCATTTGGGCAAAATGAGTCAGGTGGCAGCATCTGAGTCAGCTGGGCACCAGGAAAGTCCGTGCTTCAGTGAGCTGCTGCTGGAGGGGGAAGCCGTGGTCGGAGCTCAGCACTTCCCATCTGTTAGAAAACAAGCCTGAGTGAGTCAGGCAATAAAGTCAACACACGCTTTATATCCAATTCAGCTTGGGGTGTCTTTTGATGACAAGTAGAGGGGAATATTTTGCATATAAATTCATGATGTGTGACTGAATGTGTTTTATTTATGTGTTTTTTACTTGTGGTCCTCTTTTATACTTGCAGAACACGCAGCTCTGACTATTTCTTCAGGGAGGATTTAATTTCCTAGTCTCTCATGAGTCAATCTGTGTGCAGCTAACTGACAGTACATGTCCCTGTCTGTACCACATGGGAACTTTTGGAGAAGGCAAAGTGGAATAACATACTTTGCACCTTTGTTTGCATCTCCATACCAAGTGTGTGTGTGTGTGTGTGTGTAAGCAGGCTGTGTAAGCGTATATAAAATAGGGACTTGAACTGGCCTTGTCAACGTGCGTAGCTGTGGGTGGATGGCTTCCAACTGGCTCAGGGTGTGTGTAGAGTGAATTCATTCCTGCTTGCAAAAACCCATGTATTTCTAGAATCTGTGTATTTGGGCTGACTACTGAACTGAGTAGGCTCTTGCACAGCCTCAAAGTATGAGAAAGCAGCATGATTCTGCTCTTTACATGAAAGATGTTCATGTATTCTAACAAACAGGCAATAGAAAATAGCCAGTCATTTCTGTAGAGTCAGTGAGGATTGTATGGTTTTTAATGCTCACGTGCGCTGGCAAGAGCTAGATTTGGGGGTATGGAGGAAGCATGGCTTTTCCTTTCGAGCTGTACACAGCAGATGTTTCCCTACCTTTTTTTTCATGCTGCTTTTTAAGAAGTTGTCATTATTTTACACTGGTGGAACATTGCTTGTGATGAAAGGGCAACGTTTCTCTAAATGGGAGATGTTTAAATTGCAGTCTGTCTCCAGATGTAATTATTTGTTAGCTCTCTGGGTAATTACAGATTCACAGAGCTTGCTACCGCTCACCCGAACAGGGAATTAGTGTTGCTGCAAAATATTTCATCAGGAATGCAAAAAGCAACCAAACAGAATTTTGGAAAATCCTATCCCTGGAAACTAAGTGCTATCCCTTCTTTTCCAAGGTCTCAGGAAAGCATCCTACTGGATCACTACAGGGAAGCGAAGGGGAGATGAAGGATGCAGGCACGGAATTCCTGTGTGCAATGCAATTGTGTGACAATATGGAATAATCCATCATTTGTTATCACTGATTATTTCAGGTGCTGCTAAATTGCAGATAAAATAGTTCTGCAGAAGTTAGTTTATGACATCAGCAGTGGAATTCTTCTGTTATTTTTAATATGTATTCTTTTGTTGTGGAGTTACTGGTAGAAATGGAATCTGGATCTGTGTGTGGCTTTTTAGTATTGTTGTTATTAGTGTGATTTGAACTTCACACCCTGCAACTACCAATCACCTTTTTGATAACCTCAAGTCCTCTACGTTTTAATCACCCCTTCTAAGGAACCACAAAAGCACCTGCAGAGGAGAGCTGCAATGCTGTTAAATTAGAATGTAGGAGCAGTAATACTGTGTGCCAGGTAACATGTGTGCACCTGTCACTTGGACATCAGCCGTGCTTTGTGACAGGTCTGCTCTCTTGCTAATGAGCAAGGTGAAAACTGGCAGCTATTAGAACTACAAATACAGATCCTGTCTGGAAACCAAAGGCCATTATTTAACAAACTTTTTCTGTACGTTGGTCCTGCAGCCATTTGAAATGTCTTTTTGTGATACATGAAATAATTGTTCAGATTAGAAAATTCAGGCTAGAAAGAACAGTTTGTTTTAAAGATGACTTGCCATAAGGGTACTTTTCTAAAGGGTAGGGTTTTATTTTCTTGTAATTCCATATGAGAAATGTCAGCTTTATTAAGGTTGTGTGGCTGTAAAAGAAAGGAAATGGGTGTAACATGCTTGGATCCCTTTATGGTCACAGAGGGAAGAAAACCACCTATTCTTTCTTAAGGTGGAATAAATTCACTGGTTTCAAACAGAGCAGCAAAATAGTGTGAGAAAGTCCTGTCAGGTTTTAGTGCTGTTGTGAAAGTACCTGGTGTGTCTCATTGCAGCAGACCTTTCAGTATGTCCTCGCCTTCATCAGGTTTCCTATCAGCTTGTACCATATTCATTGTGAGAGTAAAAGGAATGCAAAATTGGAGAGATGGTAATAAAAGTGAATAAGGTTTGAGGCACGTCACGGTGAGCGGAGAGAAAGAGGTGTGAGTCACCGGCTTTCACAGAATGGCTGGCAGTCTCTGATGTTAATATTCCGAATGCATTGGCACTGTCTCGATCTCCTTTCATCAGTGTCCCTTTAGCTCCCCTTCCAGTTAAGTGCACTTTGTCATTCAACCCACACTTTGCTCTGTATGTTTTAATTCCTTTGAGCTTTCCTCTCTGTGGGATTTCTTGCAGTGCGACCTGGACTGGCTTTGTTCCAATTAAACCTGTCAAATTTAGCTGTGGCCATAAGCATTGAATCCCAAGCAAAAGGAGTTAAAACCAAGGAGACCCCCATAGCCAGAGTGGGTTGATAAATGGTATCTAAATGCTCATTAAATATTCTACTTTTAAAGCCAGTTGGTATCTGAAAATACACTTGCAATTGGCAAAGAAGAAATTATGGTGGCATTTTGTTTTGTAGCGAGCATGGCTTTAAGGAAAGAACCAGCCTCGTCCCACACAACGTGAACAATACAAAGTGAGAGTGGCAGTTAAGAATAGCATCTGTGATTATATGGGAGGAAGGAGGAATAAACAGCTCCCTGTCTACTACTCTCTTAGGGTAGAGTAACGTACAAACGGCTGTGTGCTCTTTGGGACAGGGTTTCTCACTGAAAAAGGCTGGAAGCCATATGTAGGCAGAGAAGGAAGTCAGCACATTTTTAGTAACCAGGAGGGGGGAGGGACAGGCATTTGCTGGTTTGCCTTCAGCTGTGGAATCTCTGCAATGAGGCTCTCTTTGAAGCCATAAGATAAATTTCAGCAGGGGAAAAAAAACCACACTGAGCGATGGCCTATTTGCTGTGGGTAATCCCCGCTTCTCTGTTCTGGTGAAGATAAGAACAGTCTCCCAAGAGTGAAGAAAGCAGTGAAAAATATAGGTGTTCCTTTCTGTCTAGGTCACTTCATGCTCGCCAGCATGCTGGCAAGCCAGCAGCATTGCCGATTGCAAGCGTTCAGAAGAAATCAAGTCCCTGAGAAACGGGTACTTGATAGGAACATACAGGGCTGTACAATATGTGAGTGAAGAGGATGAAGGCGCATGAACCCAAATATTTATTTTCTTATTTCTATTTGAAAGATCATGTTTTCCTAAGTGTCACCAAGTATAATACCTCTTGTCTTTCCCATTCTCATCTACTGTAAATTAGATTCTCCTCTCATTATGGTGTTAATAATAAATATGCTATTGAGACTTACCATTTTCAAAGCCCATGTTGGTAAGTGGGAAGTCTGTTAAAAGTGTATATAAACTGTCTATATATAGTTTGGTACTGGATTTTTATTTATCATGCTGCCTAAATTGTCTTGAGCAATCTGGCCTATCTTTTTTATGGAATATGTATCAGTTGTGTTAATGATTTCCCAGGTATTTGGAAGCTGCATAGAATATGTTTTGAGGTAAAGGCTTTTCTGGGCAGACATATTTCTTTGGTTGTTAGAATTTAGGCACACGTGGCCTGTGACACACAGGTGCTCATATGCAGAGTGGCTAAGCAAACTGCACAGATAAAAGATACAGTGGGTAAAAATGAGTAATGCTTAGTGTTCTCACCTTTTTCTTATTGAGCTGGATATTCACATCTCTGCTCCTGGCAGCTTTCTGCCTTCAGCTGAGACAGAAAACCTTCCTTTAACCAAGGTCACCCATATTGAAATTACTTGTGCTATTGGTCCAAAAGATGCAATGCCTTCCTTCTGGGATGGCTTTGTGGTGTGACCTCTTCTGGTGTCATGGGAACTCTGCCCGTCTCGTTATTCAGAGCAGTAGGGAAATGTGTTCTGTTCAAATTAATGGTCATGACCATTTGTCAGAAGAGACATATTCATGAGCTGCCATAAATTACTCTGTATGTATATACTTAAATGCTTGTTGGAACAGGGTAATGGTGATCTACTATTACTATGTTAACTCAGCTATAACCGACTCATAATTTATGTGTCCTTCTGAGGCACGAGTAGTGTGCAGGTGACTCAGGCACATGGTACAGCTTCTGCAGTGAGTCACTGGCAGAAATGGGGATGGAATTATGTTGGTTTCATATTTTACATAATCAAAACCTTGCATTGATTTCTTCTTTTCATCTGAGAAATGAATGCTTCCTGAAGTAATGCCATTCTTTTTCAATAGAGCAAGATTTATGTAGAGGGAAATAAATTGCTTTACCTAGGACTATACGTTAGGGAGTTACCCTTTCAGTTTTCTTAAGGGCATCATCTTGTTCCCTGTGCCAATAAAACGACGATTGGAGGTTTTTCCTTTGTTCTATTAATTGACCTGT